CCAATCCAAGCCAGATGATAGTTTATCAGGCTGCTAATTCATGATCACTAGAAGTCAAGCTGTAAATAATGATGTTTTAGCGACGACTCGTATGGGCAGTGGAGTGTGTTCTTATCAGCCAGTTAGAGTTGAACAGTGTCGATCGACCCGGTAAGTAATCTGTCTATTTCAAGTAAATGTTAAAGAGATTTGTAGTCAACTAGAAGAATTTATTACTACTTCGGTGAAGGAGAAAAAATTATAAGATGCAACCCTTAATTCGATATAGTTTAAATGTGTACATGGCTAACAATATGGAGGTAAGTTGCAAGTGAGTTCACGCGTGCAGGTGAGTCAGTGCAATCAAGCGCTTCATTTACGAGCGATTCAAACGCATGTAGTCCCTCTGACATGCGTACTTCAGAAACAAGACTGTTCAATGTCAGTGCCTACCTTATGAGGAAGAAGTTTTCCCGAGCTTTTGTTTTGTACTTCTCTAGTTTGACCGTAGATACTTCATCTTGAAGGTTGTGCATGCAAGGGTCTGGAATAAAGACTACACTGCAAGAGGAGTAGGTGAGCTTGTGCAGGAGCTTAAAGTAGAGGATTAGATTGAACTTAAACCTTCTTTTCCGGCGTGGCTCATAATCAAGCTCATGGGATAGTCAATGAGTGACTTATTTTTTAGAAGTTTGCCAATGATATTCCTTCTCATTGCTTTAATCTTCAGTACATCATGTAGGCGTGAGTTGGAAAATAGGAATGAGCAGTAATCAGAAATAGATCGTAGTCATGTTTTGTAGTGAATGGTTCGGGATTCTCTATGAAGGAAGTTACGGAAAAAGAAAACTGACTTTTTTCTCATTTGGAAAACTTTATTGGAAATATGCTCGGAGAAGTGTAGGCTTTACGACTAATGCACGAAGTAGAGAATCTTTGTCATCATATCCGTGATGTAGAGAGAACAGTGTTGTTTCCATGCAACAGTTGCTGTTAAGCCCTGCCTGTCTCTTAGCTCATTTTATCCAAACACCATCACCTACGAATATCTCGGTACTCATAACTCCCTTTAAAACACACGCACCGCCACACCTTAAAGTTGCTAACGTCATTGTAGCCTCTCTACTTAAAACAGACATGAATCTTTAGAATCGAGTGCACAGAGGAACAACTAGATAGGTGGTAGGTTTAAAAAGTAAACTTGGCGAAGACAGACTTCAGCACTTGGGATTATTCCTACTGCGATTTAGGAAAATCAGAGGTGATTTGATAATGGCATAAAATCATCCTAAAACTTGCATATTTTTAAAACATCATCCATCCGCTCAAATCACGAAACATATAAATTTCTAAATAACTTCCAACTGAGTAGAATTAATGACTTCCAGCGACCAGACTACCATTCATTGGAGAACGCCCAAAGACCCTCAGCTGAATTTTCCTACCCGATCCGAGTCAGGCACAGCAAACTATGGTCAGTATGAGCGATAACCAGGACAACGCATGGCACACAAGAGCACATATGTATGGTGGTTCACGGCGTGCCCGAACTGGTCAGCAGTGCTAGCTCAGATGAGGCTGGCGTGCAGAGATGTTTTGGCCTTCCGTTTAATGCACTCCTAAATGAGTTATTAATAATAATAATAATAATAACTTATTCTCAAATAACTAAGTTAGAAGAGACACGCCAGTTTACAGGCTAGATCAAATTGTCACAAATGCTTTCACAATTACTGTAAAAGTTATAGCAGTTAAATTAAGTATAAGAGACAGTTTCTGGTTGCATATTTAAACCATATCACTGACAGAAACAGTATTATACAGCCACATTTTCAATATTAGAGTGCAAATGAGGAAGGTGCACAATAGGTTCTATTGGCGATTGGCCGAGATCAATAGTGAATTTGTTGGGAAAGGTCATATGGAACGCGCTTGATACGAGCTGTGATCCAGACAGTCATGTACATTGGGTGCATGTTCCCTAGAGTTGCCAAGGATTTCCGACCGTGAATGGGGTTCTGAAAAGGAGAAGAGAGAGAGGAAAAGGCAGCAGTGTGGCAAGTGTATATATATAACCAAAGCACTACTTAACCTGTCATGTTAAAGTAGTCAATACAGTAGTAAGTCAAGATAACATTCATACTGACCACTTAAATTAAAGTAGATTATGGGAATATAAGAATATAACGCACAGATAAAGGAGTACAGCAAAAAGAAGGAAGAGTTGTGCAGTGTCAGGTGGATAGAAGAGAAGTCGAAGTAAGAAGCTGGATTTATGTACGTTGAAATCGAAATTCTAGTTAAAAGAGTAGAGTTTGTAAAAATAAATATTTGACGAATAAAATCTCGCACTGTCTAACTGCTTTTTTTTCTTTATTATTGAATGCCAACCTCTAAGTCATACTGTTAGCGCCTGAGTAAGAATGTTGCAGGTGTCTCGACAGAATAGCGACCTCAGCATAGTTTTGGAAACATGAGCCACAGAAGTAGCAAGCGTATAAGAGCAACCTCAGTGTTACTGATTAGTCGTCTCATCAATCTAAAGAGCCGAAATCAAACAAAATGTTCTGCCCCACAAACATGGGTTGTTTGAAGTTATCGCCCATACCATCAATGTTTGCTGGTCAGTAACTCCACCCTCTCTCCTTTTGTGTTGTTAGGCTCATGTTAAATGTTTAAAAGAAGCTATTGAGTTCTACTTGGTGTTCTATGTCTCGCATCCTGTTGAGAAACACTATTTCTGCAAGTTCCTTTCACAAACTCGTCTGGCTATTACAACTTATGAACTATTGGTTAGGCATCAATGCTATACAGTTAACAGTTATGGAGAAATAGTAAGAATTTTCAAACAAGATATAAGCATTTTGAATGTAGTGGGGAAGATGTACTTAACTAGCTAAGCAGGAGATATAAAGAGTATCGCGGTTAAAAGCGGAGCAATAGATAACACTAAGGGGCCAAGGTAAGTCAATAGCGTGTAAGTGAGAACAGTATAATTGATAATAGGCAATGTGAAACTCACACAGTTGTAAGTGTTGATAAGGTTGCGCCCAGGAGAGTAGAGTGCATTCTAATCAACCAGTTTACAGTTGAACAGTGTCGAACGACCCAGTTAGTAGAGTAACCTGTCTATTTCGAATAAAAACTAAAGAGATTTATATTCAACTAGAAAAATAGTGCTACTTGGGAGTGTAAAAATAACTAAATAAGACGCAGCACTGAGTTCATTGTGTTTAAAGTGTATGCAGAGCTATTAATATGAAAGCAGGGTGCGAGTGAGTTCACGAGTGCAGAAGAGTCAGTGCAACTGAGAGCATCATTATGAAGTTGAACAAACTCATGTAACCCACTTTCCATGCGTGAGGTTTTTAATGACAGCTTGAATATTGGTAGGATTAAAGTTGATGGTATTGAGATTATACTCACAGATGCAGTTAACATTAATATCTGAGGTAAGAGATGTTTTGTGATTGAGGAAAAACCATGTACTTAACAGTTAACAAATGACAGTTTAGTTTGTAATAAGTCTCTCCATCATGCACTATAGAATAAACGTTGTGATCTGCGTTCCTTCTACTGCGTTTTATAAGCAGACGACAGAGGTTTCGGGATCAACATGCAGCAGCGAGTGCATCATGTGCCTCTAGTTGTCTACTCATTTCTTGTTAATTTTTCACACTTTCAACTAAAGGGTGGATTTGATGCTGAAGTCCTCAGATATGCCATATGCCCGCACCTGTTTTAGTTTACGTAGATTAGCCCTTGTTTTTGAGTGAAATAAGGAGTCATTGATCTGAAAGATGTTTTGGAGGGGATAGTAGTGTCTAGCGCAGATTTAGTGGTGAAACTGAATATTTGTTATGTTGCAGAGAGTTCAAGACTGGTAAAGAACATCGGTCAGTCGGAGTGCTGAATTAGAAATTGGAAGCGTTCCTAGTCAGAATGTTAATAGCCTGTGTTGCAAACGCGTTATTATTCAGGATTTACAGCATTTTACCAGAGAAAATGTGGTGCAGCAGACTATTCTATGGTTGCTGTTTGGAACTTTTTTGTAGTCCGCCACAGATGTCAATGTGACATCATGCCAAAATATGAGGTCGAGAATGCTGTGGTTCGTTGTAAGTCAGTACACATTTTACCTATATCCATGTGTGTTCAAGTGATTAAGTATGCTTTCGAAGATGAGCGAACTGAAATGTCTGCCAGTTGATTCAAGGAAGATTGAAGTAACCATAAATAATTTTGTAGGCGAATTCAAGAGAGGCAGCCTTGGCGAACATCTCACCAATAGCTATTTCGACCGATGGATGTTTGTTTGGTGCTTCATATATACAGGTGTCACCATAAACGATTTTGATGTGTGAGACAGTAATAGCAAAGTCAAGATAAGAGCACAAAAGTTTCAACCCAAGTGATACGTGATACTTGATTGTAGAGATTTAACGACCTCCCTCAGGTGCTTAGTCTCAGAAAGATGAACTGACTGAGGCAATACTGTAACTGACACTCCTTGGGTTTGATCAAATACTCTTAGCTGGAGATTTCAACACTCCATCTCTAAATCCCACTGAAGTTACCTATTTAGGTCATTATCTATGTTCCTTTCCCTCGCTTATTCTTCGGTCCTCTCGCACACTCTTCACTACCTATTAATAAACTGAAAGATCTCTCTATTTTCTTAGTTCTGAGATCTTATTCTTATTGGTACTAGAATTTTCTCCTTATTGTTCTACACATTGCGATTAACTGATTTCAGGTTCGGTAACGTGACAGCTGCTGGCATTCAGAAACCCTGCTGCCCTGAAACAAACGTATTCATTTAAATCACTGGACATTCAAACTCATCAACAACTGCCAAGTGACTTAAATGAGTGTAGTCGAGTTTCTAGACTAATTTTCAATGAACAATGCCAAAAACCTGGAATGTTACTGAAAGAACAAGAATCCAGCTTAAAGAAATCAACTATCTCGTAGAAGACATATTGTATACTGAGTGTATTGGATATTGAATGATGTGAACGTTTTAATCTATCAATAACCTAGTGAATATTTCGCAGAAAAATAAGTAGTTACTCTGTAGCGCTTTCGAGACCTTACACTAACAACTAGCTTCGTTTATCAGTGTGTCTTGATCTCATGCTGTCTTTATTTCTTGTTGCTGTCTATTGATTCCTCTATTGAATGTAAGTGCATTCTATGTGCTTACTGATTTGCTGGTTTCAGTTCTTCTTCTTCCAGATAATCTCACACGCTGCACCTCACACAACCCTGGCACATAAGGTAATCCTGGCTAGCCGTAAACCGATCAAAGGCCGAGGTTAAAACTCTGTGGCCTGAGTATTCGGTATGTTCCCGTTTTGTATCAATGTATTATTGTGCTGGAGAAGTGTGAGGATCAGTAATGTTAGATTATCTAGTGATGGGAAGAACGAAATAAAATGTGATCTGATGACTGCCTAAGCGCCTAGAATGCACTTTCATTAGAGAGAAAGTCAACGAAAATCAGAAATAACCTAAAAATGAGATTAGGACAAATTTATAACCTGTATCGAGAGTTAAGAGCAAGGTTTTGAATCTGTCATATCTTTATAGATGTTGTTCAGTTTCAGACTATGAATTAAGATTTTTTATCACTACCATTATAGTCAGTCTATCGTAGTGCTGGTGCATTTATTACGACTATGAATGGGATAATACACGGGCTGCACCATGGTACCTATTAAGAACGATAAACTTAGGTTTACTAAATGAGGATGAATTAATCAAAACGTGAGTAAAACGTACACGATAATACCGGTTACAACATTTTATACAAAATTTTCTTGGAATTCTCACATTTACCGGCATACCGAGAGGAGTTTCCTCATAATTTTCGATAACTAATGCTAACTGTATCATATTTTATACAACTGATTGTGAAATCATGAACTTCCTGTCTCTTTCAAATTCGAACCTTTAAACACATTTCATTAGGGACTCAGTTTATTATAATGGCTTAAGTAACATTCAGAGTCTAGTTTAGTAAACTGATTCTGTGTACTAACCCCTGCAACTAGTTGTGCTTTTTTATTTTTCATAAGCACTTCGGCAAACACTGCGTAGGTAATGAATGATCGAGTAAAAAGCGTATTTTGGTTCCAATACGAATTATGTGAGTCTAACTATTTAGAAATTGAGCGTGAAAAATCTTGTTATAAGCTTTTTGAATGTAAGGATTATTTATGGCCTCTGCAACCACTGAACTTTGGTTAACTTGCTATACAGATACGGTTAATCTGCATGATTTGCTTATATTTTCACTCTTCCCCGTGGTAATTTCCAATAGTTGTAAGTGAAAAATTCATATCAGAAGTATTTGTGTTTGTTCTTGACTTTGCTTAAACCTCCAGCTTGTTCCAACCTAGAGCAAAGAAAAAGAAATAATATATCGGTCAAGAGTTATTCTTTGACTTAATTTGTATCAGTATGCGATAATCTCAGTTGGTAGTGAGATAGACTAATGTGGCCTCATTTTTCAAGCGAAAGTGTGTATATTCCGAAATCGTGCTGCTATTAGTTCTCCGTAGTTATAGTAACTTATGGTTGCATTACCAGTGCACTTGTTAATGTGTTTGGCTACATTGAGAGGCTTTAGTCATAACTTAGACCAGCTAACCAAAACTTCTTAGCTGACAAAGTCCAAGGCAGCCTATAACAGATTTTTAACACTTTCAAAGAAAGTTGGGCAGAAACCAATACGAATACATTTTTACTTTCCTTACTCCTGTTTCCCCCAATAAAGCATAGGCCGCTGACCGGTATTCTCCAACCTACTCTGTCCTGGGCTTTACCTTGACAGTTCTGTACACTTTTTGACCATTCTTCTCAGTTGTGTCTCCATTTTTAGGCGTAGTGTTCCTTAACCTTCCTCTTTTACTTTGACACTGAGGGTTCCAAGTGAGGGCTTGTCCTATGACGTAGTTGAGCGCTTTCCTCAATGTGTGCTCTATCCGACTCCAGCGTTTCTTCCTGATTTCTTCCTCCGCTGGAATCTGGTTTGTTCTCTCACATTGCAAGTTATTGCTGATTGTGTCTGACCAAAAAATCCGAAGGATTTCGCGTTGATAATTGTTAATAAATACTTGATGATGGCTTTCGTAGTTCTTTAAATTTCCGCCCCCATACAGTAGAATATTCTTGACATTTGTATTGAAAATCCAGCCTGTTGATCTCGAAGTTGGTCGTCTATGAAGTCTTTCATCCTGTTTAACAGTATTCTGCCAAAGACTTTGCTTGGTATTAAAAGAAGATTGGTGCCTCTGTAGTTCTCGCACTCGCTGAGATTGCTTTTCTTTGATATTTTGATCAGGTATCCTTCTTTCCAGTCTGTTGGTACCTTTTCTTCCTCCCAACTCTGGCTGAAGAGAATGTAGAATATTTTTCAGTTGCTGCCACGTCTGCTTTCATTGCCTCTGATAGAATGTAATGTTTTCAAGTTGCTTTGCCGCTCTTGATTTGTCTGATGGCCATGCGCCAATATTGATTGGGAGGTCCGTGGATGCTGCTTCGATGTTGGGGGTATTAAGAGGAGCTGGTCGATTCAAGAATTCTGAAGTGCTCTACCCACCTGTTTCACTGTTCTTCAAACTTGCTGATTACTTTGTTTTCCTTACTTTTCACTGGTCGTTCTGGTTTACGATAGTTTCCGGAGAGCTTCTTTGTTGTGTCGTACAATTGTCTCATGTTTCCTTCGCATGCAGCTATTTTCGCCGTCACTGCTACATATTCAAAATGTTTCCGTTTGTCGACTTTGATGCTCCTGTTCACTAGCTTGGTCGCTTCTTATTTATTTCTGTTAATAATTTCGTTTTTTCTTAGCCGAGAAGTTATCATGGATGACTTAAACAACGTTGATTATTTGTCAAGAATTTTAAATAATTGGTCCGTTTCTCAGAGACACCCATGCGAGTTAAACAATGACCGGAGTCAGACTTTACGAGAAATCTATTACCCAATCACCTTGGGTTCTACGACAAACGTAAGTATACTCATATTTAATTCGTATTTATACATAAACGTTCTGTAATAGTACCTGACATGTTAAAAGTAATGGTTATATTGATATCTTTTTCAATAGTGTTCAATATATTTAGGAGTATATCCATCTCTAGAAGTTAGATGTTCATAACTGTTGGGGATGTTAGATCCCCAGAACTCGCTTGATAAATATCTTTATCTTGGGTTTATTTCATAGACCGATCAGCTGACCTTGAGATCACATTTCCCACCAGGGAAATCCTTGACTGTGATTGGTTACTGTGTCATTTTAGTGTGCTATTTTTGTGACTGTCCCAAGGACGTCTGTATAGAGTATAAATAAATGCAATTTGAGGGTTTGGATTCATTGTTTGCTGGCTGGGTGTTTGTACAATACAATTTCTACACTATATCAAGACTTCTAGCTGATACGAATTGGTCAGGACGCTGGTTCATTGTTTTGTTCTCGTTATTCGACTAAGGTGAACTCGTAATAGTTTAAGCCTACCTAGAGACGAGCGTAATAATAACCAACTATGGAGTTCTAAAGCCTGATTTTACATAACTTTATCAGCCATAAAGCAAAGATTTTATAAATTTTCCGGTTTAAAAACTCTTAAATAATCTTTAAAGGAATAGTCCATTTTGCATAAAGGCTACTATAATTCAAATTGCGAATGTTCAGATATATCCTAACTTGTATAAAACCAATGCCAGAGAAGTCTTACTCACTAACTTCTCGTGGCTCGGACGTCTATAAAATCAAGAGGATGAAAAGTAAATTTCCGACACTTGAACCAGGTTAATGGGCACCGAGAATCCACTCAGAGGATTTGAGAATCTCTAGCTCCAAACCAATAGGCTCCAAGATCATGAACTTAGAAATGGCGTATGAATCTATTGCTGGTCACTGACTACTGTGTGACTGGATCTCCTGACGTTCCTCTACTGCCTAGTGGATTAAACTTGTCAGTGAAAGGCTCTTGGAATAGTCTCCTAAGGAAACCACCTACTTCGATTCGGACACTCGAACAGCTTTCAATTCATCCTACTCACAAACTGAATGATTTGTTTTTTTCATATATATTATGTGTTTAAATAATAATAATTTCAGATGACACAAATAAGTCTGTCAATTATGCTTCACATAGAACCGAGGATATACATGCACCTCGTCATGTTATTTCACCCCAGTATCACAGTGTGATGGAAGTTTTAAGACAAACTCCAAAACACTGGACTTAGTAACAACGGTATCAGCAGTACCAGTAGAAACGGTCAGGTTTATAAGAAGAGGGTTTCGAAACTCAGGATCTGAGACAAGTCAATGAATGAATGTATCATCTACACGGCTGCACCCGATTTCGAGATAAAACAGGTTAATACTAAATTTCATATGCATGAATTCATATAACGAAAACTACAGTTACTCAGTAAAATAGGAAAACCATATCGTAAATCGTTAATTTGCAAAAGATCAGTTCATCATATCGAACTGGACTGTTCTTGTTGCAAAACATCGATCCATTGTCACTATTCATGCGTTTCATACAAATTCCATTGTGTTCTAACTCTTCCTTTCTTGATCTTCTCCCATCTTCTGCTGCCAGACATTACGTTGACACTCACGTCATATACTACTTATAAGTAGCTCACACCACATTAGTATTAGTTGTATAAATGCTGTAGTTTGAAGTTATGAGAAAGTTTTTTTATGGTCCTTCAAAAAATATGGAAAGCTATTGAAAGTCAGAGAGTAATTGATTATCAAAACTATTTCCATCTTGGACAAACTCTGAAGAAGATGTAATAATGCTCTGCCAATATTTGTATGTTCACTACTAAATAATTTCAAGAGGAATTTCTAAAAGTCGAGTGAAAGACATTGATTGTTTCAAAGTGGGACAGATAACATCGATAAACTTAGGAGATTTTCTCTTTGTCTTTGAAGCGGTCTAAGTATTACGAAGCAACTTTTCAGTTCTTTATTTATTTTAATTATCCTTCAACTGATGATAGTCTATAGCCAAACTGATTTTCAAATTGACCTGAGTAGTGCATATGTAGTCGACTGTTTGTTACCTGGCAACAGAAAACTCACTTATGGATGAGTAATTATGAGTCTCTGTTAACAGGTAACCTCTAATATATTATATGTTATGATCTCTTACATTATACACTTATCTGACCATCATATTTTCTATAGTTTTTTTATTTATTGAGCGCCTTCCCAGTTCCTATTATTAGTTTCAAATCATAAGACACAATCTTTATACATCATTGGGTAGCTATCGTTAAGTCAGTAAATAATACAATAGTTTGGAAATAAAGTTTCAGTAATATAGAGTACATATTCATGAAACGGCTATTAAGGTTCATAGATATTATCAGGTTATTTGAAAGTCGTATTGTTCAGTTTGAAGGTTCAGTTCCATTTAAAAATGAGGTGACATTTTGTAGCAATTTTGGTTCTTAATGATAGATCGTTTGTGGTTGCCAATTTCGGCGTGTTCTTATGCTTCGGAATTAGCTCGTCCAGACAACCGTTACTAAATAGCGTCTGACGGTTTATAAATCAGAAGGTGAACTCGTAGTGTTGAATACGTTTATTTGGGACACACCACAAAGCGAAGCGGAGAAGCAGTGGATAAAACGAATGAAGCGACGTGAATTGGAGAAGGCTGTTGAGCCAACTCAAAGAAATAGAGCATGACTAAGAATATGTAGTCAGACAAAAATAAGACATACACGACAAGCTAACTAGGCATGCACACATGAATAAAAGCGACGAATGATTGACAAGGTCAAAAGCAAGCGAGGCAAGTCATGTGAGCTTGTGCAAACCAGACAATAGTAAGAGCGAAAGGTACATATAAGTTGTTGCTACGCCAATGGCTTGGTTAAATAAATTAATCGAAACGACTTAACCAAATTAGATGTAAACGAACTGGAATATATGTGGAGGCACTACACGTTATTCAGTCAAAAAGAAATATATTTGGCTTTACTAGTCATGTATACATAGATCTTTACTAAAATGTGATGGCCTAGCATTTTGTAAAAGATGACAGACACAGTCATTATGTGGGGCGAGCTACTTATAAGTAGTATATGACATGAGTGTCAACGTAATGTCTGGCAGCGGCAGATGGTGGAAGATCAAGAAAGGAAGAAGAGCGGGAACACAATTGAATTTGTATGAAACGCATGAATAGTGACAATGGATTGATGTTTTGCAACAGGAACAGTCCAGTTCGATATGATGAACTGATATTTTGCAAATGAACGATTTACGATATGGTTTTCCTATTTTATTGAGTAACTCTGTAATTTTCCTCAAATACACTTCGGTCGCTGGTGTTCTCCTTCACTAGAATATTAAGATTTGATATTTTGTAGATAAATATATTCGTATAAATATTCGATTTTCGTATACAACATTTATAACAATTATAAATTATTTTCAATTAACTGAATTAGGATACTATGAATATGGTGAACACATTAGGCAACAACAAACGGCTGTACACATTTTCACCACCTGCTTTTGGAAATGTTAAACGACCTGGTGATGATTTTCATCCATGGCAATGTGTATTAGCTGAAGAAGCGCCAACATTAGCAACAACAGTTTATCGTCAAGCTGTTGATAAAGCTGATTTTGAATGTGTAATAGATGAAAGCGGTAGAATATATCAACCGAAAACAACAACTTCAATTAGACGTTATCATCCGAAAGATAATCCACCAACAAGTTTAGGATATTTAAAAGAATCAATTAAACAATTATTGGAAAATCTTAGTAAGTAAATTGTATTATTTAATTTTGACTACTCAGTAATTATTTAAGTAGTAAGAATTGTTTCTGTTTATCTTAAAGCGAATTCAGACAAGTCACCGATAATATTCACTGTAAATTATACTAAATATTGATTGAAATAATTCAGTTTAAACTTTTGAATTCAGACTGAATGGTTTTTGAGTGCAATCTCATTCAGTTGATGAATGTCCAGAGGTCGACTTTTGGTGAGTGTCATATGATGATGAGCCACAAACTAGATCTACACGTCCAGGTAGTTTACTCTAAATTCCTCTAATGAATATGAATTTATCATATAAAAATATTAGGAACTCATCATTATCAGAATGATATACAAAACTGAACATAATATTATTGACTGGTGATTTAACTTGATGAGGTTTCAAGTGTCATACTTATTTATCACAGTATTTATTCATAAATAAACTACTATCTGGCATAAATTTCATTAACTTATAAGAATAAGACACATTGGATTTTGTAAAATGTTTTCAGTTTGTCCTAACTTCCATCATATTCTCTCATGACTAGGTTAATTAACTATTCGTAATAGATAGCAAATATAATTTTCAAACAAACCTGATTAACAGATGCACCAACAGTGAAGGAAGTGAATACATGTAAACATTAATTCAACTCGTCAGTCAAATCAATGCATACATTTCTGTCAGAGTTTAGGTTATAGCCCACAAAGAATATGCTCATCTAGACACAAACAGTTACATGTATATAAAATAACTTTGATATTTATAGTACGTTGATAAAAAAAACATCTACATATCGTGAAATGATTTTTTTCAAGGTCAACTGGAATGTGACTAAAACTGTTTGTTTTAGTTAACTGTGAGTTGTGTTTTATGGAAGGATTTGTATATTTTAATGACGGTCATTTGTCGAACTATTAAAGATTGAAGTTCATCGAACGAATGTATGAGGCAACCTTAAATCTTCTCATCAGTACTGATTCACAATCCAATTTAGGATCAAGTTCAATATACATGGGGTTGGCCGACAGTACCGCAAATTTATACTACTGGATCATTACTTAGAGATGTGGTATGATAACGTGAACTGACGTACGTACGTATGAAGTTCTACGTTGTAACTGACTGATTCATTGATCCATAACTCGAACTTATAACATATAAACCTGATCAAGGCTAAATTAGTTGATAAAGTAACTAGTCTTATATAATGTTGTGTAGTATAATCTCATAAAATGTTATGATTTCAGTCATTCATTCATGTTCACTATGGAATAATTATCATGTAAAAATAATCCTGAATGATTGCAACTTAGTCAATCAATAGTGTTTTGCTAATCCAACAACCATATTAGTTTGTATAAGGTTTCTATGAACAAATAACACCTGAAGGGAAATTTCCAAAAAAATTTATCAACCAGTTCACTTATATTCCTCCCTAATGTGACTCATCAAGTTGATGATTATGATTATTTACAGAATTCATTTGTGAAGTAACCGAAAACTCAACTGAAATAACTTTGCAGTCAGGCTTATCTTATTTATGTCTTCATTGTCTTTTCAGTTTTAAGGGTTGTGGATTTGTAATGTTATGAATATCGATGAGGAAATAATTGTAGCAAGCATTTTTTGTACAGTAGATTTTAGAGCTACCAATTTGGTGAACTTAAGATGAGCCATTTCATTTTAATAGTCAGAACACTAGTGGAGCATTAGAAGGAACAACGTTGACACGAACAATTAAAAATCAATATGTCTCAGCCGCCCACTAGATTCAATGAAACTAGATATCAACCATGTAAACTCAGTAGTCACATTCAATTAAATGGTTTGGCGGGACATTTTATGATGAAGAACTTGTAGCATCTAATCATTGATTAATTCATCGTACTTGAATAATTAGTCGTTTAAATTATTCATACGGATGCGAAACATGGCCGTTAAGAGTAGAGTACTTTTGTAGGTTACTAGTCTTCGATCATCGGTGTCTCCGAAGCATTGCTCATGTATCCTGGGGCAACTGTATAAGCAATGCTGTCGTTAGGAAACGAGTTCTAGGTAGGGATGGCAAATCAATAGATGAAGTAGTGAAACTTCATCAGTTGAGGTGGTTGGGACATGTATCACGTATGCCTAACCACCGACTGCCTTGACAAGCTATGTTTTGCAGTGTAGGAGTAGGTTGGAAGAAAGCTACGGGCGGCCAAACCAAAACATGGCAGAAATGCATGAAGTCACTGACAAGTGGACTGATTCATGCTGGTAAATGTAGGCTATCGGTTGGGGTCCGTGAGACGAAAGTCATCAATGATTAGAGACCTTGAACGACATGGCTCAGAATCGTTTGCAATGGCGCAGGTGCATCCACTTTTTGTGTTCTCTCTAATTCTAACCTTCTGCATTCCTCATAATCTCTACCTTTCTCCTTCTAAATTTATCTCACTGAATTATACTTCTCGAATCATATCTTCGCTCCCTAATCTTCTCCATTACTTCTAATACTTCTACTATCGTTATCACTCTTGGATTTGAACTGACAGTTGCATCTCTGTGCTGATGTGTTATGGCAACCTGAACTGATGTACTTATGTACGAAGTTCTGATTTGTATATCTATCTGTCTGTCTATTCGTAAATGGTATCGACCATAATGTTGAATTTGTAATAATTCGATTACTCTATCGATTATTGTATATTTGATTGTGTGTGTGTGTGGATGCTTACTCGCTTATCACATGTCTAGCCTATTAATTAATGCTTGACTAAAAATACTTAGCCATTCTTCAGTTCATGAAGTGTTGGCTTACTCGCCTTCTCCAATTCGCTTCGCTTTGCTCGTACGCTTTTACCTTCTCATGTTTGTCTGCATAAATGAACACGCATGAAATAAATTCATCCGCAACACCCTATTCGGGTTCTTACTAGCACCGTCGCACAAACGGGGTTAGCCTAAGTTAAATATACGGGAGTGGAGAGGAAGATTTATTTCATTTCCATACTCCATCATTCGTCCACATTGAATTCCAGTAGTGAGCCGCTAAAAACTATGGAGCATTTTGACCATACCCATTTCAAATCCAAACACTGCTATGTAGTCACTAACTTTGGAAAGCAACTGACTGTGTACTGTGAACACCGAATAAAATATTGATGATTTGTACGTACTTGTGCCATTGAATAAAATAAAAATAGTATTTCTTCTTAATTAACTTTTAAAAATCTCTTTTTTTTATTTTATTGTAGAACGATCAAATTCCTGTTCGAAATCGTTGTTGAATCATCATAGTTCATTCATTTCTCCAGTGCATCAAAATTTAATAGAAGCACGTTTGAAACGTTTAAAATTAGAAGAGAAAATGTTAATGCAAGCAGAGAAATTAGATATGTTGGAAAGAATAAGAAAACCTTTACCTAGATGGTATGTAACTTGACTGTGGGGATACCGGCTTTTCTTTATCTTAAAAGTCTCGAAGTATAATTATGTTCCGAATTCTTAGGTATAGTAAACAGTCATTTGATTAATTTTGTTGTAGTTAACAGGAATTCACAATTATAGAATCTTGCCTCATAGAGTTTCCTATCGGTGATGAATTATCCAAGTTATGTTATCGAAAACACAAATGTAATCAGACCACTTCTGTACTAAGAAAGAAACTCGTCTAAACACTACTATGACTAAAAGCACTACTAGTTATAAGTAGAAATGTGAACTCGAACTGTGAACTGCATACGTGTTACGCCTGCACGTAAACACGTCAACTTGATATACTTGAACTATTACGAGTTTACCTAGTCGGAAAACGAGAGTGAGGATCGAGGATCCGGTGACACGACATACTACTCGAATCCGATTATCCACACCCCCATATTGAGTAAAAATAAGAAGACATGATATGAAGTAGAACGTCTATTCTACAAGCATCCAGAAAGTACGAGGTCCGAATCCAGAAGAGAATCAGGATCCCGGACTAGCGATCCGGGACCGAGCCCTGGTCGTGGTCATAAAACGTTACAGATAATGCATATATATATATTTTGGTCGAGTAGGAAACAGCATCGAATTCTGTGACATTGACAGTTAAGACGACCAATAGGAAGCAACATTCGGATTGACAGTGATGGTCAAGACAACCAATAAGAAACAACATTGAACGACCATTAAATTGACCAGTAGGAATTAACCAATAGGAATTGACCAATAATTCTCTTTGGATATTGGATGAAATTCCTAACAAATGATTGTTTAAAGGAACATACAGACATATGAGTAAGTCCCGACCGTAGCTGCTACCTTGATGTGGTGGTCGGGCTTGCCTATCGCGATGACTCAACCGAGCTATATTGGCTCGAACGTATGTTTCTTTAGATCAGCCAGGTTGACTGAAGAACGGTAAGACTAGAAGCACCAACCTAAGGTCTGCATGTGAATTTCTACTGCTGACTATAGGGAGGTGCGACAGCAGTAAGATGTTTCCTTTGGACAAACCAGCATTTGCAGCGATGACGCCTTCTAACAAGGAAGCCAGGGGTTAGAAAATGTCGACCCCAAAACTATCAGACTTCGCCTCACCCTACAAATTTCCTTCTCTGGCCGTAGGGCCATTTGAAGTTCGCAGTCAACAGACTAAAAGCTTCGCATAAAAAAGCCGTGCATGACCGGCCTCAAGCAGTTGTACATTGGGCTCTGAGGTCAAGCCACCAGGTTGCTAAGAATCATTAAACAATCAACTTGAAACTTTTATTTATCGACTCTAAATGGGATTAGTATTACAAATATAGGGAGAAACTATGAAAACATCAAAAGTCAGTTCATTTTTTCTCGATTTCATTTGTATAGAACCATTATGAATTTGAGAGATTTGATACAGTTTCAATTGGTGGAATAAGTGACTGTGTAAGCAAGTACTTGACCGGTCACTGTCATGTTCAAATTCTTTTACAAACTTTTGTGAACAACCAGAACGTTTTAGGATTGAAAGGTCCATTACTAAATGTCCCTTTATTTTCTGTCATATAGTGTTAAGAGAAAGCTGATGTTGTGTGCCTAGTCGGTCTTGCACAGCACAAAATTCCTATAAATCACTATTCACTTATTAGCTGGCTTTCAAGCATTTTTTCGCAGCTTTATTTTTGTACTTATTTATAATTTCAACAGTAAACAACAATCCCGATAACTCAATAATGAAAATTCGTACTTATTATCCTAGGAAGCTAACAGTAGTTTGTATTTAACGTCAAAAATTACAAATATTTATGATTCTATTACCAAATCAACTTCGCCTGCCGGTCCCAAGCCCGGATATAGGAGGAGGGTTGGGCTTGGGGTAGTCGACCCCATCCTATGAAAAAAACTAACTCGTTGAGAAAACTCTGATAAGAAAAATTATTCAAACCATATAAACTCTGCTCTGAGAATTAGAAGGTCTTCATTTAGAAGAAATTTTACATGTCTCATGATGAAAGCCGAGTTCCTTTGGAAGTCTGAGGCCGATGCCCCTTCTGACAACCAGAACCCTTCCACGGTGTGAGCAGCCGGGAAGTTACATCCACCCTCATACCCATAAAAGAACACGAGACCGAATCGGTCACAATCAAATTCTTTCTACACCTCCTAGTCACGCTCTTGTCTATTCGACTAAACCTTGTGCTAACGTAGTATGATAACTTGAACTGACGTAGGTATGCACGAAGTTCTACGTTGCTGCTGATTGACTGATTGATTGATTGATCTATGACCGAATGGCGTCAGACACACACACACAGATTACTTAATGCAATACTTTTGTTCACTTCAAGAATTTAATTATTAATTAAAATCTAATCGTCAACAAGTATACATCTAATTTAATATGTTTAAAGTAACAATCGTGATATATTAATTAACTCAGTAAATTATTGTTATCCTCGTTAAATGATATGCTTGAAACTAACTGTAACGAGTTCATCTTAGTCGAGAATCGAGAGACAAATGATCCAGTGACACGATAGGCTACTCTAATCCGAACATCCCAAAGCCCCACTAAGTAGCGAAAGAAATTTTGACAAGATGTAGAAAGTACATTCTAAAAGCACCCAGAAAATCGAGGTTCACAAGCACACACACACATATACATCATAGGAACGTCCTTGGTAGAGCCACAAAAATAGCAGACTAAAAAAAAAATACATCAACCGATAACAGTCAAGGGTTTTCCGGGTGGGAAATGTAAACATACAATCCAAAATTAGGATTTTTATCAACTGAGTTCTGGGGATCTAACGTCCCCAACAATGAATTATAGACATTAAAAAATATGATCTACAGAATACGGATAATCAATAACAAACATTAATCAAATCAAAACAATGGTTCCCTTTGATAAATTTGAATAGAGAAATGAGAAGACATATTTTGTGAGATAGTACCATGTCGTGCTTTCTCCTGAGTCACATACAAGCAACATGTTATTTGTGTAAATACAGTTTTGAAGATAAGGTCAAAATTTCTTATTTAGCATGACATTCACTCACTAGAACCATGGTAAACAAAGGTCAACATACAGTTGTTGTTTTTGAACACATAAAGTTGGACTTTTCCGACCAATCAAGATAGCTTCGAGTAGTTTGAGTGTGTGTGGGTTTTGATGACATGTCACAACTCTAAAGGCTGATTTTGGGTCAATTTGATGACCACTCATCATTAGATGTTTTGTAATGGACGAGGCTGGGTTTCTTGATCGATTTTGAGATGATGGGCTAGGTTGATGAATCATGGATTTGATTAACCATTTTGGAATATGTTCCCCTATCCTGTCTTCCAATCGGCGATCTGTCCTACCTAAGTAACTTTCTCCGCAGTTACATGTGAATTGGTAAATACAGTGGGATTTGGACTGAATCGGTCCCACTGTATAATAATAACGTCCTTCAATTAGTAGATCATTTACAGCAAAGAAAGTTTACAGACATGTCAGATCAGATCACGTGATGAGCGCTTAAACCACAATTTGAT